AAAAATAAAGAATAAAGTAAAAAATTTGTTTTCCTTTCTGTAGAAATTTTCGTTCTATTTTTTTCATACAGTTTTACTACTACTAATTTCCACATAGTTTTGAAAATCCGATATTTTTTATTACAACTTATTCTCGAAATGAAAACACGCATTTAGCAACCCCCTTTTTGAATAATCCAATTCGCGTGATTTCGCCGTCGATCTTTTTTTTCTCGGTGGTTACTACTACAGATTTCACGATTTTTTTTAATGTGTTGATGAATTACAAAATGTGAAAAAGGAAATAATTAGTGTGTTATCTTCCTACAAAATGCAAGAATATTGTCCATAATATTAGTCAGGGGTCTGAATTTGAAGAAATTTGGGTTCGTTAACGGACTTCGTTAACTTTTAATCGAGCCCTTCACTAATTTTTTTAATCTTCATTATTGTTTTGTTAATCGAATAAGCCCTTCCTGGGGGGGGGGAGGAAGACGGTTCGAGACAAACTAAGATTTCCTAAGTTTAAATTCCAAATGTAGTATTCTAAGAACATATTTCTACTTTTACAAACATCGTGTGCGCATTCTTATTAATATTAAATCATAATTTTTTTGTAAATAAATAATTGATCAATTTATATTTATTCATAAAACTAATTAATTGAATATTATGTAAATAAAACTTAACTTCAGTTATATACAGTTCAGTTCAGTTATAATTCACTTAACATTGAATATTATGTAAATAAAAATTAACTCTAATTTATTAGAAGCAACTGTTGAGCAGAATCTTGTATCTATTTACAATTTAAAAACTTCTTGAAAAGGTTTTTATTTCTGCTATAACAGGACCCTATTTGCACAAATTCACAAAAGCAGGACCCTGGTTGAAAGAATATAATTTAACTCTTATTTTATATTCACAAATTATGAATAGTTTTTTCACAATTTTACAAAATCAGGGCCTTTCACAAAATGTCTGGACAGACCCCTATTAGTATAAAAAATTTTACATATTCAATTAAAAGAATTATTTTAGTTATTTGAAAGTTGACGCTTCGGTTACTTTAAATTAGTATCATGTATATTGGCTATTTTTAAGTATCTTGCAGAAAGATATTAGTATTAGAGAGGTATGTCGCAGAAAGCCCGAAAAAAATTCTGCCACAGGATATATATATGAAGAGTAAGTAATATGACGTTCTGTGCTAAATATGAAGATAACCAATTTTTTCTAAATTTGCAGTTTTACATTTGAGATTGCAAAATAATAATAATATTAAATAAATAAATAAAAATAAAAGGAAAGCATGAGAAATTAAAAGGAAAAAAAAAGAGTTAAATATGCAAATGATAAACAATTAGGACAATTTCATGTGTAACAAATTAAAAATATCATTTGCTTAGACACTGCTTTATAAAACTTAGTCATTACAAACCTAATCATGCTTACGCAGGAAAGCTCTTATGCTTTAAATTTTACTGCAGTTAACGAATTTTAATTCAAATAAGGTGTAACTTTAAAGAAAAAGAAATTACGATTTCATTCCTTTTTTTTTTTAATTTTTAAAACTCTTGTAAGAATTTTTTTCTTCACATTTTTCTTTTCAAATATATAACTATTGAATAAAATTATCGGAGTGCAATTGTATTTTTACTTTTTTTTTCTGCATTTTGAAAGACAATTGAACATAAAACGATTTTAGTATCTTTGCAAGATTTGCCCATTCCACTTCCTCCCCCCGAGCCAACAAAAATAAGTAAATTGCCAACTCCCCTCCCCCATTTGGAACTTAAATAATACTTGAATGACCCTCTATTTTAATGACATTTATGAACATAACATTAATAATGATACATGTTCATTTTAACTTTTAAAATTAACGGCATAGTAAAAAAAATGTTATCCTGCAGAATTGAAATGGTTTTACTTTAACCAAAATGTAAGCAACCTTTAAATTTAGTCTTTAAAACTAATGCTCTATAATTTATGTCAGTTTCTCTTGTAGCACTAATTGGTAGATCTCCGTATTGTGAACTGACGCAGTGTCATAATTCGATTATACAAATCATCTTGAAGATGAAGAATAATTACAAATTGAAGATGAAAAATAATTGCAAATTAGCATGATGACAAATAATTAACTAACTTTAGTTGAATAAAATTAATTTACTACCTAAGAAAATAGCTAAAATAAACAAAAAAGACTCGAATAGCAAGACTGGCCATAGGAGTCTCAGTTTAATTAAAAAAAAAACTTGTTTTACAAAATTAATCAGAGAGTGATCTCATAGTAGTGAGAAATTCTATTTGCTTACTGCCATGACAGAAAACTCAGAGCAGAAATTATTTTTCAACATCCACCCCCCCCCCAAAAAAAAATTTTTTTTGAAAGTTGCTTAAAACAATAATAGAAAAAGTTTAAAGAAATAATGTCAGAAAGTTTTTTTTAATCACATAATGCAGATGAAGAGCACCTTTCCCACAAAAACATTTATGAAAAATGTGACAGGAGATCATTTTTTAATCACTAGGTATTGCAATAAATTTCTCAGGAAATTTTAAAAGGAAAAATGGGTAATATTGAAAATAGTTCAAGGTTCAATTTGGATAGGGAACCATTAGCTTAAACACAGATAGAGATAAAAAGAAACTTTTAAACTTTATTTGTTAGATATTTGTTAACAGAAAAATGAATTATATTTAAAAAAATAGTTTTCATATTTTAAGGCATGACAAAAATAATAATAATGATAAATAAATAAAGGTAATCTTATTATCAGCTTACTTACAGCTTTTGTTAAAATGTGTTACGGGGAAATAAATAAAGAACGAAATTGAAACAGCAAGAACATGCTGAATTCGCTTATTAAAATAAAAAATATATAAATTAAGTGGGAGAAAAAAGGTTTTATGCAGTATTAAACCTTAATCAGAGGACTCCCTCTTTTTACATTTGCTTTTTTTTTATTTCTCTACATTTGTGCCGGAAAAGTACACCTACATTGCATTTTAATGAAAACATTCTCTATTTTCACATACACATTTCTTATATGGATTTACAACAAAACCAGCCGGAACTAGTTTAAGGTCCGTATAAAAATAATTATGCAATAATTTTTTTTTTTTTAAGTTGGAATATTTTATAGTAAAATAGCCATTTGATTTCGTCATAATTTTATTACTTGCAGATATCCAATTAAGTATTACTCATTTGGAAACGAACAATAATGTAATTTATAATGCTTCACTTGTACTTTAATTTTGATATTACTTTTAAAACAACAATTATAATCTTGGGTAAACCTTATGATTAAAAATGTCTTAACACAAAAATAAAACCAACATTGGGGAAATTGTATTTAAGGGGATCAATAAAAGCTTTTTGGGAGAAAATATTTTTAAAGGCCACTATACAAATGATAGATATTTTTATTTAATATTTACAAAATGTTTTATTAAAATTTGTTTGAACTATATCTTTAATGACGAGTATTTTTATCTAGGCATAATATACATGTAGACATCAAAATACAAGGTGTTTTGTAAAGACCGTCCTTAATACGTATTTTTAGAATCCTTATAAAAAATTGAAACAAAAAAAAGTTATTCAAGATGGAAGTTGAAAATTAATATTTAAGCGAAGTAAAAGCAAAAACGCTATTGAAGAATTACAGATGAGGAAGGAGCTTGTAATAAACATAAAACAGGTTTATTGGAGGATAAAACTTTAATGGAACAGTTCTGATGATCGCCTTGCAACCTCTGTTTCCACACGTAATCAAACATTCTAGTAGTCAATAACAATCACTTTCGAATACTATAAACTGTTAAACATCGATATCGGTTTTGTTTTTTCCTCAGTTAAATATTAGTTTGTGATCCTCATGTGCTATGAATGTTTTTTCTTTTTCATTTTTGATAAGAATTCTATAAATGCGTATAATGGGGCTGTCATTAATAAACTATTTATTGGATGCAATTAAAACTTATAAATTAATATTTAGCTGCTGAACAATTAGGATTCTGTAAAGGTAGGAACTTTATTTACGTCGCACTAGAGATGCACAATGAGCTATTGGCGACGGTCTGGGAAACATACCTGATGATGATCCGTAGACATGGTCATTGCAATTTTGATCCTCTGCAGAGGGGATGGCTCCCCAGCTTCGGTAGCCCGACGACTTGCGATCGAAGTCGAGCACTTTACAATTGAACAGTTTAACGAGCACCGATACTGCGCACCCTCGGTCCCTATGCTGGTTGATCAAAGTTATCACCCACCCGCCGTTTTAATTAACTTACAACAAAATTTTCTTTTTAATTAATTTTATAAAATTTTGAGTAGAATATTATTTAGGGATATTTTTTTTATTTTACTTTAGTATTTTTTTATTTTACTCAAGGAAAAAATTTCTTTCACTAAATTGAACTTTTATTTCAAATCTGAAATTTATCGAAGTGTAACTTTTTGTTTCAGTTTTTTTACTTCTTAAGAAAATTTTAAAAGTAATAGGATTTTAATAACTTACGTAAGCATACTAATACTCCTCCTTTCTTCTTGTCAGACAAAGTAAGCTAATCACAAGCCGCCACCTTTCCGTCAGGTATTTACGTAATATTTGGACTGCCCCTATGAATTTTAATTAACTTTGATTTTATGTTATTATTTCAGATTAAAAAAAGTTAATTATTCAAAAATATTAAAGCATTTGATTGTTTTAAAAAAAATTACTTCCTTGTACCATGTTAAAATTTCCCAAGACATCTAAATCTTTTATTAAAAGAAAGACATAATTTGTTGAAAAATGCGCATACTTATTCGATTAACAATATAATTATTTTAATCGGTATTATAAATAGTTTTTAGTTTTATATCGCCATTGTCAGAAAAAAAAAATTTTGGCGGCCATTTTGGCGCATGTGCTGTTACGAATATCTTCCCAAAAGCTTGGAACATTTTTTAAATCTGTTTTACTGGTTTTCTTTATAGACCAATGAGGGAAGTAATACTTTACCTCCGGAAACTTTTCGATTAATTTTTCTTTAAGTATGAAGAATATAAACTAACATCTAACACTGGAACATTGTAAAGAAATCATTATCATCCACAGCCATGAAAAGAAATTGCTATTACAATCGAAACAGAAGCGAACTTTGGTTTTCACAAGTGTTGCCATCAAAAGATATGAACTTTTTTAAATTATCGTCCTGAAGGTTTCGTTTTTAATACCAAATACTAACAAGTAAACCGAGACGTTTAATTTAGAAGTATTTTTAAATTATTAAAAAAATTTTCCTCTTTGCGATACAATTTTCTTATTCCTGTCTTTTAAAATGCTTCTTTCGTAGCAATGTTACTTAGTTTTATAACTTATCATTATTCTAACCGTTGGTATAATTATATGCGTATTCTGAAACAAATGTTCTTACGTTTTTTGTTTTTAATTACATAAATTCGTACTATTCGAATAGTATTAATTGTCATATTGAAAGAAATGTAACCATAAGTTTAACAATTATAATTAAATATTGTTATTTCAGAGAATAATAAAGATTAAATTATTTCAGTCAGAATATTAAATAATGTTCCCGCTCTGTAATGCAATTTATAAATTAAAAACGAAACCAGTTATAAATAATAATAAAAATTTATCGAAGAATAATAACGCGTTTGGTGAATTAAATTGTCAAATTAGAAAAAAATGAGTATGCAAGAAATGAAAATTTTGTTACAAAAGTTTGGAATTCATCCTGAACATTGATCTTTTTTTTTCCCTTCATAATTTATTCATCTCATTCATATTAGCACAGAGAAATGAAATTTCGACATACATTTTTAATTACCTATATGAAGTTTGAGAGTTATGGCAATACTATAATTATACATATATATATATGATACTTTAAGGAATCGTTTATATATTTCTAGTAAGTAACTAACTTTCTGTGCACGATCGGTTCCGAAATTTGATTTACATAAAATCAATTGAACAGTGTGGAACAATATAATTAAAAGTCATAGTTATTAAAGTGAATTTTATATAACACTGATCCTTTGTAATATTTTCAGATAGGTACATTACACGATTTCGGAATTTCTACTTCTGGTGAGTTTTCTAAGACTAATTTTAGGTCAGCTCGCTTTGTGACCACAAAAAATTTAATCACAGAAACTTGTCGATAGAATAGTTAAGTCAAATCAAGTGGATATAACTAATAGTTTACAAGATACTGAAATTTTATGTTGTTGTTGTCGTAAGCCGTTAAGGCAGAGGGTGTGATTGTTCTTGTTTTCCAGTGGCGTCATCTATGGCCAAAAATGCAATTTCTGCCACACCCATACATCGCACCCGCTTATAGGGCGGACCCATTCATGCATCCATTCACATATCGTAGTTTTGAGCTGATACAGAGAACGATCAATCTCCAATTCAGTACCACCAGAGGTATAATTTGCTTTGGGAACATGGAGGACTCTGTGACCCGACAAATTTAACGTGCACCAGTCACCATTTACTACACGGGGACTCTGGACAGCTGGGTTCGAACTCCCGCTCTGACGAACGTGACTCCATAGCTCTGCCAACCAGGTTATCCCGACCATTGAAATTCTATAATTAAAAATTGATAGTTTTGTAGTTGTAGTTACCTGTATGAAAGTGCTATATAGACAAGTGAGGTACTGCTTCTGATGTCTGTTTTTCATATTTTTTTTACCTCTGTTGAATTAAATGAAACTATAAGTATGCCGATGGGACCAATATTTTGAAATTCATAGAAATTTTATGTTTAAAAATTGAGAATACCTTTTTACTCGCCATAAAATAGGTTATGCAGAAAAGAGATAGTTTGGATCTAATGTAACGTTTTACGCTAAATCAAGTATGCTTCAAACTCAAAACCAAGTCGATAGTTAAGAAGTTATTATAAGAGCAGCAATATAATATTATAAAGCAAATTAAGATATGTACAAATAAGTTGTAAATACAAAAGTATATTTTTTAAACTTACAAACGTATATAATTTTTGAATTGTTAGTTCTATAAACTTTGTTATAGCCTCATTCGATTCAGCCAAGGCCTACTGTGCCCATCTCAGTTTTCTTGACCTTGGGCTCTGGGGTGCAGGAGCAGATGTTCTGGTCAGGTGGTCAGCCTAACGCGGAACCCCCAGTGTTTAGTTCCCAAGCATGCTTGGTACTCATTTATCGACCTACTGAAGGGATGAAAGACTGAGTCAACCTTGCCCTGCCCGAGGATCGAACCAGGGACCTGTGGCACGACAGCGCAAAACGCTACCGCTCAGCCACCGGGCGTCCACTGGCCTAAATAGCACTGTCAAATGCGTAAATTAGTATAAGTACAAAACTGCTCTATTTATTCCTATGTACTCTAGTAAAACTACATAGAAAATTATACCTCACTTGCTGGATGAAAAAAAACTTTTGTAAAAACTACATAGGTAACAATACAGCACTTGCCTAGATATCACTGTCAGATGCGTAATTTAGTATAAGAACTATATTTTATTAGTCCTATTTACGTGGGGCTGATAAATGTTAAATAATGGCTCATATAATTCAGCCTAAAAAGAAAAGAAATGCATAGGAAGCCATGCCTCATTTGTCTAGACAGCGATATATTTTCCTCAACCTTATAAGCCCTTTCCCTGGTCCCCACAGCTTTCGAATTATGCTTTGCATCAGGGAAAAACTAGATTGCTCACAATCACATGACTACTATACTGCTGTACGAATGGGGAAAAAAAACGTGTCTCACAGTAGGTTTTGAGAAAATTGGCCAAATAACTATTTTCTTTCTATTGCTGATACTAGGAACACTAAAATAGAATTTCAAAAACAAAATTAATCTTTTGCAATAAGTTGCCTATCATACAAAAATACCAAATATATAAAAATCTCAATTTTGAATTTTTGTCATTCACGTTGATTTTACTTTTGCAGGGCAGAATACCTAACTGCGAAATCTATTGTAATAGGTAGCCATGAGCATTGTTGGTGGGGGGGACGGTTCATATGTGCCCCCTCAATAATTAGAAATCTATAAAAATCCCTCTCAATACTTCAGACAAATAAAAAAAATTTCCATAAATCACCATCGATTTAAACTATTTGAAATTATAAACAAGAAAAAAAAAGATAAATATAATTAATCTTTCTGCGGTTATATAACAGATATAAGACCTTTCTTTTCCTCTGGGTAAAATTTAAATAAACATTATGATTGTGTATTCTAATTTTGTCCCTCTCAAAAATTGGAGCCCTGGGAAGCTCATGATGGTTGCACAGTATAAAGAAATCTTTTATTTCCCAAAAGGATATTTTTTTTAACCAAAAACGCTTTCCTGGAAAAATTAAAAATGTGGCATATCATTAGAATGTCTCTTGCAAATTTTAAGCCCAACATAGAAGAGTAAACTCTATGATAACCCCGACATTGAGAGGAATATGACCCACGATCTGTCTATTGCGAGTGGGGTATCATGTTTCGTCAGTACGAGCCGGAAGCAAAATGACCTGCCTTCATAGAGATTCGAATCCGTGCGAGTGACGAAACGAACTGAGAACAGTAATGCTAAAGCCAATTCTAGACAAAAGGCAACATTTTCCAACAACATTGGCAACAATTCGCTTTAAACCCAACTGTTATCGGAATACAACTGTACCGGTTAGTTTTACTATGTCAGGGGCACCAAAAGTCATAAACCCGATTCGCAGGTCGGTTGATCAAAAACAACTAATTAAAAAACCTCCGAGATTTTTAATTCATTTTAAACAATAAATTACAATTACAGGGGTAATTGTGGGCCCAACTAAAAAATCCAGAAAATTTCTTGAGTAAAATCCTTCAAAAAATTAATATCTTCATAAATTTATATCATTGAAATTTTCAAAACATGATATTCTAAAGAAATCATATGCTGCGCATTTAAATTAATAATTATGTGTAAGTTTTTAATAATTATGTGTAAGTTTACTTTTATCTATTTACATTTATTATTATACCAGAAAAAATATTTACAAATGAAAGAGATGCCAAGTATAAATTCTAGTTCTAATATTTTTAAATAAAATATACAAGAATTTTTATACATACATGTGATCGATGATTTATTGAAACTTCTGGACTTAGGATTTCCAGAAACTTTCGGATCGCGGTTAGCGAAAAATCCAGATTTTTTCTGGAGCACAATCACCCCTGCTATTGACAATAAAAAAAAAATCCGGTTTTTAAGTCCCGAGTTTTCCCCTTGTAATCACTTAAAAACCGTACATTTCTGCGTAAAAATAATGCATCAATAAATAAACAGTAAACGATGTTAGAAAATTTATATTTTTGGCTAAAAAGTCCTTTATATTCTCAATAAGTCAATGTGATTTGAAAAATTAAAGTAAAATGAGTGGGAAAAGAAATGCTGTTCTTTTTTTTTTCTAACTTTATCTAAGATGTTTTATTACGTATGAATTTATACACGCCTTCGCTTCAAAACAGCCCAATTCTTAGAAATATCATTTACATTCTAATCGTCTACAATATCATTTTCTGATGATAGAATTAAATTATTATCCGGTCATTTGTTTGTGTCGTGCACAAACAGTTTAGAACAGCGGTTTCCAACTGGCGGCCTGCGAACTAAAATATATTAGTTGTCATTTTTTTGCGGACAATTTTCGCCAAAACTCTATATTGGATTTAAATACTTCGTTAATAAAACAAAAACCTAATTTCTTCGTTTCTGTGAAATTTATCATACCAACGGTGCAAAAAAAATATATTTCTCAGGTTTTACATCCAAGAAAATATTTATTCAAATACAAAAATAATCGTGTATGTTGCTCTTTTTTATTTCATTTTCTTTGTATTTTGTGAATATAATTTAGCATGTGTGTATCAAAAATTTTCTCAAAGAAATTCTCTGATTTAACTTTTTGAAACCACTCATTTTGGACGAAAAAATTTGCACACACATTTGTAAATTTTAAATGAAAATATCTATTCTCTGGTGGTTGCAGCAGACAAACCTCTATTTCGTCATTGAACATTTTGCGTGCTACTATGTGAGTTTTAATACCAACCTTTTTAAAGTTTTATATCCTAACAATTAGATATCTGTTGCACATTAATTGTTTAATACATGGGTGCACATTAAAGTTATTGTAGCCTGAATTTTTTAATATGCAATTGAATATTTTTAAAAAATCTACTTCTTATTTTAATTTGTAATTCAATACTTTTGTTTTGTACAACTTTGTGAAAATCTGACAGAAATATTTAATATTCCTTCAAACATCAAAGAGTCCTACATAAAATTTTGATAAAGTTGCGGCCTGCCATTTGATTTGTGTTCTTAATTGTGGCCCCCCGGCCTCATGTAAGTTGGAAACCCCTGGTTTAGAACTATCTTTGGTTTCCTAAATGCCCTGTCATTGCGACTGGAGATGTTAGTAGTGGACGGCATTAACGATTTAAATTTTTCCTTTGTATTTATTATATCAGAGATTTATTTTACTTCAACATACTGATTATAAACAACTTCCAATTTTTGAGGGGAAAGCGGTATGACGACTTTCAAATTTGCTTCAGATAAAAGTGTTGTAGACAAAGATAACAAGTCATACAATGGTTTCTTTTAAGGAAATCACAAAGACTATCCACCAAAAAAAGTTTTCTGACGAAAAAAAAGTCTTTTTGAGCAAAGAAAAAAAATAGAGAAATAGTTTAATTTTGGTAAACGAAATAATGTGCTGGTAAAACAGTTACAGACAAATAATAAATTCTTTTAGAGCAGTTCCCAGAGTGTGTTTGGCACTTTAAGATGCTTTGCTTTATGCAATTTGTTTTAGCTAAGAGAGTATAGCTGTAAGTAAAACTTTTAAGTTGTTATTATTTCAACCAGTGCTTTGTCATTTGTCACAATATTATGAATTTTTATAAATAAATGTTAAATAATATATTTAACGAATACCAATAAATATATATACACATTATAAATAAGTTTTTTGAGATCTAAAAAGCTTTAAAATGAAATTTTTACCAACATTCTTAAAAAGTTATGGTTGTTCTTTAAGTTTCAACTTAAAAATTTGCCTATTCAAAAACACAAACAAAAATTAAATGCTTTAAACCTATTCTTTTTATCTATTAAAAGATATTTATTAGAGTACATTTTGTAGCACCTAATTTTTAAAACATTTAAGCCAAATTAAAATTGCAAATTTAGGTAATACTTAGGCTTAAATAGGTTGTATTGAAACTGTATTATATTATTTATTAAGCTGAAAATTACGAAACATTGGATTTTTCTTTAAATCAATTGAATAAAAACATAGAAAATTAAATGAATTAACCTAAAAAGCCAATAATGAAATGTCATTAGATTTTTTTTTTTACTTATTCACTTTTTTACACATTTGTTTCAGAAACAAATTATTATTATTATTTTTTTTTTTTGAAGTATTAAAATGTTAGATTCAATTACTTTTTTAAAATTTATTTCAGTAAAAATAAAAGCCGTAGATCCAGTTTTCATTACTAGCATTAAAAGTTGAATTAAGAATTGTTATTTCACTTAAATTTCAAGATTAAAAAATTAAGCATTCAGGGAACTATCAAAAATATATCTTTCATGAAACTATATGAATACTAAAAAGTAAACAATAATGAAATTTCAACAAATATTAAATAATCGATGGATATAAATAAATTTAGATGTAAAAGGCTAGGGGTATGGATATACTTTTTTCAAAAATGACAATGTTTATCAAATTGAATTATCAAATTATCACTTTATCAAAAGAAAACGAGATAGAAACAAACTTCTTGTTGCCTAAATAGAAATTGTGCTGTTGTTCATCAAAAACGTTCTCCTGAACATTTTAAAAATGTGGCTATCATTAAACTGCCTTCATATATGTAAAAAAAACATCTATATAATAACAAGTAAATTATTAGAATAGTATCTTTCAACATTCAAATCCTAAAACTTTTGTACACGTACTAATACTGTTTATTGATAATATTAATGGCAGCCAAATGTTTTACAAGTCATACTTAAATCAATATGTTTTTTAAAATTATTTTACCTCTTTATAAAAAAGATTTTTTTTTCGTAAATATAGTGATTGCTGTGCTATGCATTCACTATTATAAATGAAATCTAATAAAAATTTTGTAAAAAAACTTTTACTTAACAACAATTTTGTGAATGAAAATTAGAATGTTTCTTAATCACAAAATGTAACATAAAGAATATTTTGATTAAAAAAAAATAATAAACAAAGAAGTTAGAAAAACATGAATTAAAATATTACATAAGTAAATATTATATTATATTTACTTACGATGAATGCATACTTATGATTATGACTACATGATATACATTACATAAGTAAATAAAACAGCGAAATCTTGTGAAGGAACAATCTTTTCTACTTACTTAATTTGTTTAATATTTATGTCACAAAAACTGCAATATGCAATTCATTAAAAGGTAAGATTTTAAAGAGTGCAATTATCGTGCCTAAGAAGAAAGATGCAATTTGCACATTGTATGGGTAGCATTGAAGCTGCCAAGAAATTCACAGGATATATGATTAATCAAATGTCTTTCTTTGTCTCATTTTATTAAACTATATCTTAAAAAAAAAGCTAAACGAAAAAAAAATTATAGTATTTTTAATCATTAAATACCAACTGTGTAAGCCAGTTAGAATCAAACAGAATTCGATTTCAGCAAATAATATATTTTAATAAACACAAATTATTTGTCCGTAAAAACAAAATACGTATCAATTAAGTTCAAATTCATAAATTATACATAAGTAAATGATAAAATAAACATTACATAAGAATTATTTATAACAAAAATAACATTTGTTTAACATATAACATATCTATGCAACATGATTTACAGTAAATTTTTTAAGCTACCATTGAAATAAAGATCAACTAAAAATTGCATGGGTACAAAACATAAAATTTGAAAATAATGAAAGATACAAAATGTTTTGTAACAAAATAGATATAAAAAATATATAGTCAAGTATATAAGTATACATTACTTTCTAACAATAGACTAGAACTTAAGAATAACTGTAACATATCTAATAAAAGATAAAATAAGAATATCTGAGAGCTTTCAATAATTTTTCAATTTTATAGTATAAAAAAATAGCATTTATTTTTAGTAGTTGTAAAAGATTCCACATTTGTCACTTAAATTAGCATGTTTAAATTGCACTAGAGAAAAAATATCAATCTTTTTCTAATGTTTATAATTAAAAATAAGAAAATATATTTTCATAGGCATCAATTAAATGCTTAAATAACTAAATTTTTAAATTAAAATTTCAATAGCTTTACAACCTCTTTAGTTGTATAAAAATAAACATTCTATGCTAAACATAGTAAATATTAAAGATCAATATGTTGAGGCACTTCATCTAAATCATAATACTTGTGCTGAACGCTGTCTTCACCGAGAGTAACTATTCTGAATCCAGATTTGTCCCCACGCAATTGAGCACCAATGGCAGAAGTCACAACCAGTTCTATATTGTGATAGAAGCCTCCACTATTTCCGTGCCAATGGCCACAAAATATAGCATTTACATCTAAAATTGAAAAATAAAATGCAGAAAGAGTTGTAGCAAATGCTATTTTCATTAGAATACACATGTTCCTAGTGGTTGAAAATAAAATTCCTCACAATATTTTAAGATGGAGTATTTATGAGATGAAGAAATGAAAGGCTAGAAAAGCAATGTGACTAACTACTTTCAAACTTTTGTTTTGTGTGGCATATAATTTAATTCTCCATGGAAATAAAACGTGGGCATCTTTCACTGCTTTCAAATAAATAAATTATGATAAGAACAAGTTGGTCAAAATGATTTTAAAAAATGGTGTGACCTCACGCACGTGTACATACGATGTAAAATCTTGGAACCAGAATTTTCTTGACTTAAGAAATAGATTCTTTAATGTAAAATTAGATCAAAATAAATTTCAAGGATAACTGATAATTAAAGCTATTTCCATACAACAATAAATTACTTCCTAACTAAACATTGTATATAATTTGCATATAATATAGAAATTAAAGAACACATGTATATAAAAATAAATTAATGATAAGAAAACATATATACATCAGAATTGAGGAAAAAGATCATTAAAGAAAAAGAAAAAAAAGAGATTAAACCATTACTTACAGTAAATGGATACTTAAAATCACTTTAGATTTTGCAATAAATGAACAGAAATGTATAAGAAAAGAGAATTGTTTTCACTAAAATTTACTAGTCAAAAAAATTAATCAATTAAATTATTCTTCAATTAGAAATCGGACTAAATAAGAAAAAAAAATTCAATATCAAAAATGCTAAGTTTCTTATTTCTTATAAGATGACTAAAAAATTTAAACAAGATAAGTATGGAAGAGGATTAATTAGTGGGTAGTCTCTAAAATTAAACTATTGTATGATTGCAATTTTTTAAAATTATTAAATTTTATCATTATTAATTAAAATAAAAATATAATAAGCATTCCAAAACGAATAAGTTTTGAAATGTATGAAAACTATACCAAAGAGGAAGGAATAACCTAACTGACTGCAATCTGAAAATAAAGTGTAAGATAACTTTGTTATGTAGCATTTTTAGGTAATAAAAATTGGGAATTTTTATCTTAAATAAAATATATAAAAAAGCAAAATTAAAGGCATTGAGGGAAAAGCTTTCAACATTCTGATTAAATGGAATATAATAATAAAAAATAAAAAAAGACCTTGGGGTCAAATGCCTGCAACTAACTTAGAAAAAAGGTGCAAAATTAGAAAATGATTCTGTAAAAAAAAAGTTAAGCAAATTTCTGTTACAATACTGATTCAGCAATAATTTGTTCTTCTGAGGAAATGAGAACAATAAAGAAGGGATAATTTTTTTCTTTCTCCAACTCCCTTTCATTTAAAACATGTTTTGGACATCTATTTTTTGTAAAAATTTCTCTTCTAGTGAATTAAATTTTAAATACAAAGATTTTTTCCAAATCCTGTGTTTGTGTAAACGTTGTACGTTCTAAACGAAAAAAATTATCAGGAATATTAAAATAATTAAGATTCCTGGAATAGATTTTATATTCAAATGACGACGACAATCGATTTGTTTAACAAAAATTATACATTGATTGGAAATAAAATAATACTTAATAATGTTGATGATCAGTAATAAATAAACAGAGTAAATATTATAGAAAATTACGATTAAGGATAAAAACTATTTTGAAACAGTTACATTTTAATTAACTATCACTTAATTATTAGGCACTAGTACCATGGCTATTAAAATATAGAGCTCTAAAAAAGAGGGCTAGGTGCTTGGCCATGGTTAGGTGGTGCGTGTGGTAGGAGTGCCACATAATTTTAACCACAGTCAGATGACGTGAACAGTGCCTGAGCTGGTACCCCACTCTCAAAACTTCTGCACCAAAACCAAGGAGAGGACTTTCAGTCATAACAAATTTTACATGTACTTTGCTGTGTATACATGTTGGCCGTTTTGTTGGTCGCTCGGATTGAACTCACTACCTGAGCATCGCCTTAATTGACTGCACCACCATAGCACAAGTATAGGTGTATATATAAAGCTAAACTAAATTGCTTACTGGCATCTCGAAATTTGGGAAGCCACTTTTGACGAATTTCAGGAAGGAGATTAAAATAAATTTTTGATTCATCAGGATTTTCCAAAAACCATGGAATATGTTGAAATATGATTACATGTTTATAATTCCCATTTTTTGCTTCTTCTAACTGTGCTTCTAACCAAGACTCTTGTTCTGCAGCCAAAGCAGGAACCTATTTATAATTAAAGAATAAAATTTTTCAGTTACTTTTAAGAAATTACATCTGAAAAGAATCTGATTTAATAGAAATTCAAATGAGCTTTTACAATAACAGTGGCCACCATTACAAAAAAAATTATTACCTTCACAAAAATTTCTCAAGTAAAAACTAAAACATCACAAAAATAATAAAATAATTTTGTGATAAAATATATTTCAGATAAAATTATTCTCTTTTATAAAAATTTACGATTGTGCTAAAATTATTTAAAAAAAATTAAATGCAAGTAAAATTTTTCAGATTAAGAATCCATATAGAAATTCTGGATTGATATGAGTGAAAGACAATTGACAAATTGATTGGTATTGGTTAAAGACTAGTTATAACAGAATTCCTACCCTCTTAGCTCATAGCATCTTCATTTCCAATTATACAGACTGTTTTGTTAAAAAATAAAACTAGTAACTTAATATAGATTGCTTTATATACTGTTCTGTTAAAAAATAGTAATGGTACTACTTAAGCAACAATGTTCATAAATTAATTGTCTATTAAATCTCATACATATTTAGAAAACAATTGTAGGCATATACAGGGTTCCTACACTATTTTGAGAAAACAATATCTTGACTTTTGCAGGTTTTTCCTGGTCTTTTACAATAAAATTTCTGACCCGCCGTTTCCCACTCCAACAAAACTTTTAACATTGCAGTTTTAATCAGTAATAATATGCTACTTAGTCATATCATATATTGTATAGGATAAACACTTATATTTTAAAGTGGAATTGCGTAATAGCACTTTATATCCCAAATTATATTTTCAGAAAACTTGTGAAACATACTTTTAATTATCATGAATAGATTAAACTTTGAGTGTGTTTTTGCAGTTAGATTCGAAAACTATTTAAATAAAAAGATCAAGAAAATCTGTTGGATTATGGACACATTATTTTATTTAATGTTAAGTGGGACCAAATGCATAAGTGTCGTCAGGATATAATGTGTTAATCAAATCTGCGAGATATGTATCAGTATCCTCAAATAATATTTACTTTTAAAACATACTAGAGCATTTGTTACATTAAGTTATTAATTTTTAAAAATCACCAATTTACTTCAAACTGACTTTTCTTTTAAAAGATATTATTGAAATATAAAGGGGAAAAAAGTCAAGAAAAGTTAATTGTATACAAATAAAAATTCAGATAGAAAAATAATGCAACTTGTGAGAAAAATAAAATCAAAAATATCTTTCTTTTTCAGTATTTTTAAATTTATTTCTGTAATACTGTAAGCTTCCGGAGAAACTCAGGGGCTCCTATGTTATAGTATAATATTTCTCAACATATTTTGTAGTTTGACAATTTCTGAATCAAGAACATCCAGTTCTGTTGCAGCAGTTTTTGTCCATTTAGATTTTCTTAATTTCAAATCATTTATCTTTTCTTTTATTCGTTTTCTAGAAATTTCAGCTTTTTTATTCTCTTCGTTTTCCTTTTTTTTTGGCTTTTGATGCATGTCTCCATCTTGTTTTAGATCCTTTTACAGCATCTAGGATTTTTTCATTAATGTCTATGTTTCTTATTCCACTCATAAATGAAAGATAACCATACACACGCCTTTGTGAAATAATAGAGTCTTCATTGAGGTTTTCAACCAATAAGCATTTATTGATTGAAAACCCCCCTTCGACTGTTGCGTTACCATGAAAGAGGATAAGAAAAATTTTTATAACCTCCCACAAATTTTCAAACTTTTTTTCTCCGTGCAAATATTTCGAAAAAAAATTATCTAATCTCTGTTGCTGTGAATTAAACTCTAAGAAACTCTTTTGCTCAGTAAAAATTCCGTTTTTGCTTTTTCTGCTGTTGTTTTAGCTACCCAGTTATTAACATGGAGAATTTCCAGACAGGTATCCATCCTTGTTGAGCAATGGATGGATGTTGAATGATCAATTCTGGAACTAAACTTGAAATGCCACGTGTCATACTATGCAACAATGGACTTTTCTCCAGTATTTTTTCGACCGTCCTCAAAAGGAATTTTCGACATTCTAACTTGAAATATCCCTTTTCTTTCTCATTAATTTTTATCATGTTCAGATATTTACTTGCTGCAAAACCTCGTATTATTAACACTTAATAGATTGTCATTGTTTGTTAAGTCAATACTTGCAATTTTTTTTTTNTTTTTTTTTTTTTTTTTTTTTTTTTTTTTTTTTTTTTTTTTTTTGCAGTTGTAGCATTGTCTATAACCAACTTTTTTACACAACCCACAAAAGATTTTGTGTTAGTTCCAATATACTGGAATATAAGTATGTACTGAGAGGTTTGAAAATTTAAAAGAAAAGGTTGAAATTCTTCAGAAATAAGCTTAAAGAATGCTAATTTTGGTAGCATTATCGGATCCTTAACACAGTCTTTGACATTTTTTATTGAGATTCCGGCTGGCTGAGAATTTCTTTTCTCTTCTATGTACCTTTTAACATAAATGTTCCATGTGCAAGAAAGAGGAAATTTTCTCAACTGTTGTCTGTAAACCAGTTATTCACACAAGGAGCAATAAACCTAGCAACCCTATCAAAAATTCCTTATCATTGGATAAACAAGAGAAAAATTGCTAACAGGACAGGTTCTACCAGGGAAAGAGGAATGTTATTATGAGGAAATTACATATTTTGAATTACAGAATTTCTCCTTGAAACTTAATTTTTGCCTGTCAGTCTTTGAATGAACTATAGTTTTTTTCATTTTCCTAACTTTATGAGTATGTAAGAAAAATCCTGACTTTATGAGTATGTAAGAAAAATCCTGACTTTTTAGCTTAATTTTAGAATATCCTGACTTTTGCAGGTTTTCCTGACCGTGTAGGAACCCTGATATAAGAATAGTTTTAAGGACAGCCAAAAAAAGTAACACTGGGCGTAATCACGAATGAATGGCATAAGATATTACATTATAATAAGCCACATTTTCAAATTGTTTAAATTAGCGTTTCAAAAAAACGCTTTTATTGAAAAACATAATGATTTCTGTATAAGTATTTTTGAGTATTGGGCAGCAATTATGTGCAAAAATAAAATATTTATGTGCAAAAACTAAGAAAGAGTTTTAAAAATGTCACCTTAAAAAATGTGATGCTTATAATTTTATTGCCTTAAACCCTCTGTGTATGTATATTGCTATTTATATAGTATAAGAACAATATAACAAGTTATATAATTTAAATAAATAAAAAAACAAAGTAAAAAACTTACAAGAGAAGCATCTTCAAAATACTGTGAATTAATCACAATAAACATCACGCCAGAGCAATAGAAAGTGAAATAATCATCTCCAAACTTTTCTCGATAGAGTTGAATTGAATCAGGAGTTGGAGTATTACCCACATCATGGTTACCACAAACACATATTAATGGAATATCAGGAGAGAGCTCTTTAAAAAGGCGAATAAAATCCTTTTCTTGAGGAAGGCGTAAACTAGTACCTAAAACACATTACATAAATTTTAAAAAATTATTCATAATTACAAATTATTAGTAAAATAAGGGATACATTCCTTTACAGTGAAATTATACAATTTCAATAAACACTAGAACTAACTTAGTCTAAAGTTGATAAGCTGAATTCCATTATTATGCACAGGATACTTAACAGGTCATTTCTAACTGATTTTTAAGACAAAATTTTAGTACAACTGACACACAGACATTTACAAATAATTTTAACTATACTTTTTAAAAAAATGTCAACTGTTTACTTTGTTACTTAATGCTTTCTTACATGTTTTTTATTTTAGAAAAGGGACATATGAATTTTATACATGACGATAACTTTTTGTATAACTTGAACTACTTTTTTACAAACTTCAATATTTTCACATAAAAAAATATAATTGTTAAAAAAAATTACTTCAAAAATGCAACATTTGTTTTCCTATTTTATTTTATGAAAATTATAGAAAAACTCTTTAGATGGAAAACTTTCTATTGAATTTGCATTTTAAGTAAACTCAATTAGAAAAGGAAGATAATAAATTTCCTAAATAACTTTTATTATCTTAATATCATCCCTTATTTTTTGCTAAATATAATTTTCTGCTATGACAAATAACTTATAAATACTATATGCATTTTATCTGTTTTTAATCTTTAAAAACTTGATACTAAATTCTTTTCAGAAGTAGGATTTGTTACATTCCTGAAAACAAACTTATTTTAATGTTTTGAAGATGGAATGATGTTTAACAAGAAAATTTCAGAACAAATTTTAGTAACTAGATCGGGTTTAAATAGAAAATATTCACAATAACTGTACATCTATAGATGTGAAATATTAATTTTAAACATAGCATAAAAACAAATTTTTTAAAATTTTATTTTATCATAAAGTCAATTATTTATTAATGCCTGAAAAGAAAAAAAAAACAAGAATGTGTATTCACGTACTAAATGGAACAAAAAAACTAAATATAGTTTGCATGTGGAAAGAACTCCCCTTGCCATTTACTTGAAGCAGAGGCGGTGACTATGATTACAAGGCTTAACTACTTCAAGTAAAAGTATTGGGTCAATATTTAAAACAGGTTTAGGCTTTGGTCAGGTGAGAGAAAGGGAATCAGGGGAGAGAGGAACTGCCTCTTTGAAATGTGTTGTTTCTTGTTTCCATACCAGCAGATGGTCTTAGACTTTGTGGTGAGGGAGTTCTTTCAATATAGTTTTATAGCGTTTTCTAACTTGTGCATAAGTGAACTAACTATAAGGGACCCTGTGGCAGAATCACGGCGACATTGTCACAGAACGTTACAAAAAGATATTTCTTTTGGGAAGAAAAAATTTCGGTTTTCATTTCTGCAGAAATTTACACGTAAAATTTGAATTGTGAATTTAAATAATCACTTATTGCGGTTTAATTTACGCCGATAGTATCGTAAATCCATAGAGTGGTTCGATTATAATTTTGGCAGTTACTGATTTTCATGTGGTTTTTAATTATCCCGATATATTTCAGATCGAATCGAGCATTTGATATTTACTTTTTAAAATCCGATATTATTCATTACAACAATCAAATCTCGAAATGAATAACGAGCTTGAGTAACCCCATTTGAAGAGTCCAATTTGAATGACTGAGTAGGGTTTCATGATTTTTAATTATTTTTTTTAATGTGATGATTTTCAAAATGTGATATTGGAAAGAATTAGTGTTGTTTTCTCCAAACCAAAATTTGATAATATCACCCATAATATTAGAATAAAAAAAATATCACATATTGAATGAAAATAATTATATGCTTTTTTTTTTGTAAACACAGCGTTTTTTGTTAATTTAAATCGGTAACATACATATTTGTAATTATTAAAACTATTTTGCAGAAGGATATGAGTGCTAGAAAGTTCTGTCGCAGAAAGCCTGAAAAAATTATGCCCAAGGGATAACTAACTACCTAACTTATGCATACAGGGTGCGTTCTGAAAGTAATGTGCATTTTCTGGGAAAAATAGATTTATTGATCCTATGGGTACAAATGGTTAAAATTCTGCAAAATAGTTCCCTTGTGCATCAATACACTTACGGAGACGATTCTGCCACGTCTGGAAGGCACCCTGGAACTCCTCGACAGAAATGCCTCTCAGGAGCCTTGTAACATGTGCTTGGATGTTCTCCACCGACTCCCACTGCTTTGCCCTCAGCTCACTTTTCAGTCGGGGGAGCGAAAAAAAGTTACACGGTGCCAAGTCAGGGCTATAGGGAGGCTGGGGCAGAAACTCATCATTTCCAGCAATTCTTCACTGAGAAAAACTCTAACTTCTTTTTGCTCCTTCGGCACAAGCTTCGCACAGACTTTTCTCATTTGCAAATCCTCCGTCACAATCCCATGTATCACACATTTTGACAAGTTTAGGGTGTTGGTGATTGCCTGAATGCTTAACCGACTGTCTGACTTCAAAATTTCACGCATATGCTGGACGTTTTCATCGGGTCGGGCTGTTGTTGGGCGTCCATACCAAGGCTCGTCGGTGACCTTCTCCCGACCCTCCTTGGGGGCCTTGTGCCACCTTCCACACTGAGATCTCGAAATGCATTCCTCCTTAAAGTCGTCTTGAAGCATGTGATGAGTTTCCGTCACATTCTTCCCAAGTCGCACACAAAACTTTATCGCGTACCACTGTTCCAGCGAATGAACACTCCATCACGTCGTGACTCGATCGAAAAAAAAAAGACTTTGCGCAAAGGCACGTCCTACCGCTCGAAGCGACCTGAGACCAGGCTTGTTTGGAAGGACAAATCCCTCACCATATTTTTTGACCAATCTGAGTGCGCTGCGATCAATAGTAGCGTCACAATAAAATCATGCGCATTACTTGAATAATGCAAATTGCAGTTTATATATATAAGACATAAAATGGATTAAATTATTCACCTGGCATTGCATGAATAAGATCACCACAAACAACAAAAAACCGAGGTTTTGGAGATAAATTATTCACAGCTACAATAGCTTTCCTTGTCAATTCCATTTCTTGTTCCCAGCCATAATTTGGTCGTTTTTCAATATATTCCTCAATCATACCTAGTTGTGTATCTGCGCCCTGTATGAAGCAGAAAGGTCCATTCCACTCACTATTAGTTTCTATAAAATATTGAATAATATACATTATAAGAATTATATAACTATCAATGTAATTATATTTAATCATTAACAAAAGTCAGAAAATGAATAAAACAGATAAAAATTTATAATTTAATCGTTGCAGTGAACTGACACCTTGAATGACTTTTTGTCTAATGATCAGATTTTCACAAACTAAAACTTAATGGTTTGAAAGCAAACCTTAAATATTTTAATCAATTAGAGCAGATATTTTAAGTAACAATATCAGATATAAAAATGTACTTTCTGAGAATAAATTCACTTTTTTTTTTACAGGTATGGGGGATTCTCCCAAATCTGGCAGATAATCTTGAGTCTCAAACTATGGGTGGGCTGCCATCTGGGACATATGATCCTAATAAATTGGTCAGGAAAGTAGTTGAAGGTTTAGAGGGAAAGTTAGAAAGTTTAGTTATTTCAAAAGTTAATTATTAAATAAATTTTAAATCTTATTTTTAAATAACAATAAAACATATTCAGACATCTAAAAATGGTGTTCCAACTTATATTCAGAAAAAGTTGCATTAGCATTTTGTAAAACCTTTCTTAGTCATTTCAGTTGTTTTTGAACACAACTAAAACTCTGAATTTGGTCTCAAAAAACAAAAACACAACATAAGTATTTTGATCCTAATTATAATAATTCATTTTGTCAAGAGAATACAAATTTACAATATAATACCTTTAAGAAATCCAGGAAAACTTTTATTAGAAGACACTACAGGAAGTTTTTCTTCAGACATTTGGTCCCAGTATTTTTTGATCAACTTTTTAAAACTGAAAAGAAATATTTTAGACATTCTTGGTTAGAATAAGAAGCATTTAAATAAAATGAATTGTGAAATAAAAATAATATTTTGCTACCTTAGAATACCTTAGATTTTTACCATTTTTGTATGTTGTTTTGGTCTGTGTTTTTGTTTTAAAATAGCATATTTCATCATCATAGGTGAAACAGCATATTGTGAGCATGACACATTCCTTGCATAAAATTTTATTTTTTTAAATTGATTTTATGATCTTTTCTTTAAAAAGAAAATCTAACAGAGACATGTAAACAGGCCAGGGACAATATTTATGGACCAGGGTTGGGTTTAGAATTAGAACGTCAAAAACTGTTTTTCCTCATGACAAATATGTCTTGAAAACAGTATCTGACAAAAACTGTTACAAATATGAGGCAAGTTTAATTATCTGTCATTGGAGGACATTTTATTAGAAAACATGTTACATGTTTATTAGAAAACATGTTACTGTTTAAATCATTCACAATACTTGCATTATAATTAATACCATAATACTAACTACATTTCATATTATATATGTGGAGTTGGAGCTGTTTTTACAGTATTATAGTGAAATAGCTTCGAACATTACGTCATTCACCATCTTGTAATATTGAAAGAAGTTGCATCATCCTCTTGACATTGAAAGGCGCCATCCAGTCCCGAAGGGAAACTCCCGAATTTATAATTAACTCTTACTTTATACCATAGAACAATCTAATTCTCATTCACCATTCCAGAGACCACTGCGCGAAGGCAGCGCTCACGAGACATGTCAATAATGTTAACTGCTTTATCCTTCTATTCTTTTATTTCTATTAAATTGTTATGTTTATTAAATTATTGTCATTATTTCATTTAATGCTGCACTAACTCCCACATACATGATGCATGAAAATTAAAGCTAAAATGATTAACTGCTTTTTCAACAAGCAAAAAAGTAGTACTATTTATACTTTATGGTTATTATTTAGAATAATATTACTATTCAGCTTATACTATAGATAACTATGTGCCTAAATCATCTTAAATATTGATTTTAATTCCTTTATGCTATGATTGAGGTAGATATTGTAAGATTAAGTAAAACTGAAGTGGTCTCTAATAATACAAAATAACAACCATTTAGCAAAAGGAATTATTAGCTTCAATATTTTATTTAATTATTATCCATATTTAGTAGAATTTTCAGAATAAATTTTAGCTTGTTACAATAGCTTAAATTTAATTATGCAAGATAATTAATATTTATAATAGATAATGATTTTTGATGAAGAAAGGGGTTTAATGTCAAAGTAATTGAAGAACACAAGAGATTGATCACTTCTAAATGTATTCGAATAACTTTTTGTGTATAAAAGGTAATAATTATTTTCCTCACAAAATTTTAGGTTTTTGACAAGTCTAAAAAACTATGTCAAAAAAAGATTTTTGACATGACAGTTAAAACTGTCAATTGCCAAAAAATTTTCAACCCTGGTATGGTCTAGTAATATCTTTTGAAGACTAGTCCTAATATTACAACAAAAAATAACAATCTCAGCCTAATTATGTTTGTAACAAAGATCAGGAATTACTAGTGATCATATAATTCGATTCCGCCATCCATATGGGGCATCACTTAATGTACTTCACTATAAATAATTTTAATATTTGCAAACAATGTGACACAAATTTATTTAAAACGATTAAAATTGTACAATCGAAAAAATTATACACTAGAAACTCAGTTTCTCACAAGTTATTGTCAGGATGTCACCAAAACTTAGCCATTAACACCGATACGGAAATTTTCATAGCCCTTTATTGAAAAACACCCCTATTTTAATTTTTTTTTTAAATACATATTTGTCACTGAAATTACAGCATCATGAAAAATTTTAAATATAATCTTAAACATCTGTATAAATTTAGATTTTCAATACAAAAACGTAGAAACAGTAAATTTACAAAAACAACACAAAGGACAAAACAAATTACAATGAGTAGTAATAACACTAGAAATCATTGAAAATAAAACAGGATTTTACAGGAAAATTCCAAAATGCAGATACCTAACTCCACTCTTTTAAACACATGTAAATAAAAATTCTCTCTTTGCTCAATTTAAAAACCGTGTTTTTAATTTTAGAAAGAAAAATAACGATAGCAAATCACCGGAAAATAACAATTTCAAATTCAGAAAATAGCAATTTCTAAGAAATAACAATTTCTAAGTTACGGTCACCGGGCTTCTACTTTATCTAATTTGAGAAGAGTGATTTACACCACTAATGCTTCATATTTTTAATGAATTTTCATCTTGCATTGTCTTAAGTAGTCCAGAAATAGGCAGCTTAAAACTGTACATTCAATGTAATATTAAGAAAATGAAATATTCAATGTAATATTAAGAATTGCATTGCATGGTTGAAATTTATTTATTAATGTTTGTAGTGATAATTAAGAAGTGTATTTCGCTTGAAATAATATTTTTACCTTGAAGTATATTTAGCGGATTTTAATTTCTTTGGTAATATTTTTTAACAATAATGTAATTACCTTGAACTTGGATTGATAAAGTCTTATCTCATTTCTAAAAAACAAAATTAATTACACGATAACGATTCTTTACACGGGTAGACTGATCTGTTTTATTTTATTATTATTTTTTTTTATTAAAAAAAAACTTTCTTGTGATATTTCTTAATCAATCAGATATCATTTTGATGTCTTTCAAAATAATAAAAAAAAAAAATTATCTTTAGTAAAGTCCTTTATGAATTGTCTTTTTTATTTCTAAAACTTTTTGAAGCATTAGAGGGTTTAAGACTTAACTGATTTAAAAGATTTTTTTGATATCTGTTTAAAAAATTACAATCGTTTGTAAGTATGCATACAATTTTTCATACAACTTTTTATTTTTAATCTCTTTTATAATTAAAAAGAATATTTTAAAAATAAACGTGAGATCTTTTCAAATTTTACTGTAAATAATATGTTATGAAAAAAGGGGGATTTTTTTTGTTAAACAAATGATTCTGAAAATAAAGATTAAAAAAATTATAGGTGTGATCGTAATTAATTGCGAGAAATGAATGCGTATAGTTGCATTCAATTACTTGTTGATATTTTTTTAATCTGAATTAAGAGGAAAATTGTTAAGTATTACAAAAACAAAAAATAATTTTTTTAATAAAAAATTTTGTATTATACAGAATGTGCATTCAGGAATATTTTTCTAACTATATATATTCTGACATTGATAATAAAAAAACAGCTTATTTTATTTTATTCAATCATACAATTATTATATTAAGATTCTTTGCCAGGATTGGCATGACTTAAATTACTTGATTTAAATCATTATTTAAATTGCAATTTAATTAAATTTATATTTTTTAAAAAAAATTATTGATTAAAGAAACTGTGTTTTTTTTTCAAAGCAATTAATTATAACAAACTGAATCTTTTTTTAAAAAAATGAATTAATTTACCAATGAAATATTTTTTATTCAAGATAATTATTAAATGTTAGGTTGTGATTTTTTCATAAGTCTGATTTCAGTGATAATGAATATTTTTAGCAAGAAATAATATGATGAATGGAGATGCAAATTATTATATTTACTTGCATATCTTTTTCATTATTTCGTTAAAAAAAAAAACATTACATAGTTAAAATCAACAGTGTTTTTCACAAAAAAAAAAAAATCTATAAATTAAACAAACTGATTTTTCAAAAAATATTTATTAATCTAAATATATGGAATATTTTTATGTAATTAATAATAATATTATTTGAGTATGTTTTTTTAATGTCTTTTTTCATTGATAATGAAGGTTATTTGCTAAGAAATAATGAATTTATATATATCATTCAGCATAATAATTCTTCATATTTTTTATCTCTATTGACATTAATAAAAGAAGAACTGACATGGAAAAGAAATATATTTTAAGCTTTCTAATATTATTCTAATAATATTTTTATTTAAGATTATGGCAACTAAGTGGGGTGTAGTGAGTGCTGGTAAAATAAGCCATGACTTTGTAACTGCTGTACAAAGTATGCCTAAAGGAGATCATGAAGTATGTAATTTTAAAATGTTTTCTTTTTCAAATATTTAGATTGTATTTCTGTGTCAGAAAGAAGATACATTTTGAATGTAATTTTATTTCTAATTATTTAATTTTAATTAATGTATTTATATATATATAATATAGTAAAAAGTACAAAATAAGAACATATCAAGTAAAAAATTAAAATTTTGAGAATTATATATATATTGAATTTCTATTTTTNACTGCATTGATATATTTTGCTTCGGCTATATTAATGAAATATCAGAAAGCACTCTTTTTCGTGGATATAATTAAGTGAGCTCAAGACGAGATCATATTTTTACCTTATTTTGTTTTCCGGCATTTTAATTTTAATTTTTTAAATATTTTTTTGAAAATATTTTTTTATTAATAATTTTTCTTCCTCTCTTTAAATTTTTTTATTTTCCCTTTTTTTTTTGTTAGTTTTTTTTCTAACTTGTTTCTATACGTTTTTATTTATTTTATTTGCTGAAAACTGTACATAAATTTATATAGGGATATTTATTTTCAATATGATATACCTATCCTAGAGGATCTTAAACTACTTTGCCATCTATTAGAAGTCTTAATTTTTTTTAAAACTTGTCTCTTATAATATGCAGTGATACCAAAAAATTCTTATTTATACTTGTGCTTTTTTTTGGATTTTATATTTTAGTACAAATATAATTTCTGAGGTGTCAGAAAAGTAATATTAGAGAGTTATTAGGTGTAATACACTGATGCATTCAGTAGTGCATAAATCAGGTTTTCACACATTTTGACGAAGTTCCTGAAGACTAAAATATTATTTTTTCAATTTTTTTTATGGCTGTTCAACGTTGGTTATAATATAATACTTTTATGCATTTTTAAAAAGTCTCTATTCTTAGTTTATTGCAGTTGCTGCCAGAAATTTATCTTCTGCTAAAGAATTTGCCTCAAGTCATGACATTCCAAAAGCATATGGATCCTATGAAGAGCTAGCAAAAGATTCAGATATTGGTGACATATATTTATTACTATTACTTCTTATTTTAATTTTATATCATTTTTAGTCCCTAACAATAATTTTTATACTTTTGAAGAGGTTGTATATGTTGGCACTATCGCTTCACATCACTATGCTGTTGGAAAACTTATGCTTGAGAGTGGAAAGCACGTTTTGATGGAGAAACCCATGACCTTGAATGCAAAGCAAACAAAAAATCTCATAGAAATTTCAAGGAAACAGAAGCGATTTCTAATGGAGGTAATAACCATAATTAATATATTAAGATTAATTTTCTTCGGCTTCCAAAGTTTTCAGGTACGTTTTGTTATATTCATTGCATATCATTTTACTATGAAAGCACAAGAAACATACAAGTTTTTTATATTATTTATTTGACCCAGGAGTAGAATTATGTTTGCTGTTCTGTAATAAGATTTTTGATAATTCCTAATTTTCTGCAGATATTATCAAGATTGGAAAATTTTCACTAATTAAATTACACCTATTAAAATGCCATCTTTTTCTGAGAGCATTTGATTTTATAAACTACACTAGAAACAAAGAAAAGTTTCAAAATTAAACTTTGCTAATACACTAAAAAGCTAAATGGAATATTAAATTAGGCAGTGAAATATCCACTCGCTAACTATTGGCCACCGAAAATTTAAGACTGGTGAATACGTTTTGTCTTTTAAAATGTTGTGTTTCAAAAATCAAATGTTTTTTTTTTCAAAGTTGCAAGTTTGCATTAATGGGATGCAACTTTGGTAATCCTTCCAGACTGCTGGACTTGAAGTTTGCCAGAACTGATTTGATCAGAATTTTTATAAATGGGACTCCCTTACACAGTTTGACTGTAAAGTTACAATTCACAAATGATATTTTAGTGCCCAAAGGCTTATAAACATTAAGTGTTAAAAGCATGGGAACATTTCTGATATCTTAATTTTCTTATTTTATTAACTTTTGATGATGTTATTATTTATATTTTTTCTATTAAGTATGTTTAAAAAATTTCGGTTTCTGCATTCTTTTATGGTTTTTGTCACCAAAAGATTCTTTGGTCACCAAAACACTTCTGTTAACGTTATAAAGATAATAAATTTTTTCATGAAAATAATAGTGATCAAAAATTTTAGTCTGACTCGTACTCTAACTCTGACTAAAATCTCTGGCTAGTACCTAATTCTAAAGAATTGAAATTTCATACCCTGTATTGAATTTTGTATTATGCCCTGTATAATATTTTAATTTTATAGAATCTGTATTTGACATTTTATTAAAAAGCAGCATTTTTTAATTTATGAAAAGGCTTTAAATATTAGTATAGTATTTCATTTGCAAAATTTATCATTAAAAATTCAACATGGTTTTAAAGCTGAAATAAGTTTTTGTAACTTTCAATATTTCTTTTTCTATGTTGTAAAGTTCATTTTAAAATATCTAGCTCTTTTCTGACTTTACTTGAATTTTCTTTATTCAATGAGCGAGGATCATTACTATTGAATGATGATAGACATTCAATAACTTTTTCTAATTCATGAAAAAAATGTTTCAGTTATGTTCTTTTATATTTCCTGTTACATAAATTCTATAACTATTTGTTCTTTTTGTTTGCTATTTATATTATGTCAAAGCGTGAGAAAATAAAAAATTTTAATTATTCAGGCAAGAAAAATTAGTTTTTCATTTCTTTAAACAAATACTCTGCAAAAATTTGATTTTTGAATGATACATGATTGACAAAAAATAGCATTTTAACTGCACTTATCTTAGCCTGAACACAAAATTTTTGTAATATATTATGAAACAAAAACAAATTAATTAAAATTATTTTTATTTTGATTAATAATTGTAATGGAAAAGCAAAGTTTGGAAAAGGTACTAAATTGAAACATTGTATACATTTACCAACTTAACACATTGAAATGAAATGTATCTTAATAGATAATACAAGAAAATAACTATCTTACAATAATTATATTCAAAGTTTAGCTAAGGGTTATTTTTGTTTGCTCATAAAATTAAAAAAAAACCTTATGAAAGGAAAAAAAAAAACCTATTTTTATTATAATTCATATGGTGTTATTTTTTCTGGAGGGGGCACCCACCTGTAATGTAAGGGTTTTATTTATGCCCCTGCAAAATAAAATTTTGTAAAGGATCCCATTCTCAAAAGCAAAGTTAGTACTCTCACCTCCGTTTAATAAAGTCAATTTAGAAAAAAAATTGCATTAACAGAGTTGCCATAGAAAAAAAATGAACAAAATTGTTGCTTTTAGTAGCCTAAAGCAGGAAAATGGTTGCTGAAAACTATGAAAATAGTTGCCTAACTAAGAACAAAAAATGTTCAATAATAACACTAAAATTTTGTAAAAGACTTAATTATCATGTACGATGGTACATTTGGTCAAATTGGTGGCAAATATGATCATTTTTATATAAATTTTATTGCTCTAGCACTGAATTCTTATATAAAAAATTGTTATTTGCAGGAAATTAAATACTTTTAATAACTAGAATTTATTCAAAAAAATAATAATAATATTTTTTCATTAAAAAAAAACTTTTTCTAAAAAATTTTCCATTTTAACACTAATTGATTTAACAAATGTATGTGTAAGTATATTCTGAAAAGTGATTACTCTAATTCGAAATTCATGCATCGTAATATCGTATTAAATTTTTTTTCCTTCAAAATCAAGCAGAATTTTGTAGCAATAACTGTTAAAAAGGCTGTCAAGAAACAAAATATACTTAAAATGGAATCTGTGCAAATTGAGCGCATTAAAAAGTGAAGAATTGGAAAGAATTCAACATTTCAATGATTTTTAAATTTTTTTATTTTTTAAGAAAAAAAAATTCATTGTTTTCAAAAGCTCTTGCGGGTCGCAGGTTGTCAACCCTATTAATACTAAAAAATATCGCTCTGAGTACAGAAAAGTCTTTCAATAGTCTCCTTTTCTTGAAAATAGTTACTTTCTTAGCCTTTTCAGGCAAAAAAAGTTGCCAAAGTCGCCTCAGGCCGAAAATAGTTGCCTGTGGCAACCCTGCATTAATGATGTTTACTATATCACTACTTTGGTAGCATTAATAGTATAACCATTAGGGTTGGGACATAGAATGAAAGGATTTCTCTTCTGCTCTTGAAAGGATTTTTGAATCTAAAGGTGAAATGTTTAGTTTTGTATAGTTATTTAGAGTTATATGATTGGTGAAAAGTTTAATTGATATTTCCCCTTTTTATGGTTAAATGAAATAATAATTATATAATTTGTACTAAGTAACGTCAAATTGTTTTATAAAATTATTAATTCTTTTTGTTTAAGGCATTATGGAGCAGATTTTTTCCAGCTTACAAATTTTTCATGGATCTCATTAAAAGTGGTAAAATTGGGGATGTCGTGCACATAAGTGCCAACATCGGTAAGAACCTTCTTAAAAAAGAGAGGTTAATGAAGAAGGACCAGGGAGGTGGCTCTATCCTTGACCTTGGTGTTTACACTTTGAATGCTGTTACTATGATTTACGGTGGTGATAAACCCACAAAAGTTGCAGCAGTTGGTCATTTAAGTGAAGAAGGTTAGTCCAAATTATTTTGAAGGATGAAATTTAAATTGCAGGTAAATTATGAAAGCAGATATTCTTTATCACAAAGAATAATTTCTTTTAAAGTTTGTGTACACTTAGAATAAATAAAAAAATAGTCCTGTAGTTAACAATTTTTTTTTAAACTTACTGTCCCCATTAACAGCAGGGTTCAGTCTAGGAATAAAATGTACAAATTACAGAAACCATTCAGTTGGAATGGTCTGATTAGCAATAGAAAACATTTATAGTTTTTTGCCAGCAATTGATAAACTTTGCTATGAATTTTAAAACATTGTGGCACTCTTGTTTCCTAAGCAGAATGCAACAAACAATAGAGTCTTATTTTCTCTTAATTTTGTTTGGTTTATTTTCCAAATCGTTGGTCATTTTTGTAGCTCCTTATGTAAGCAAATTTATTTTAGAGGTCTTTTTCTAATTGTGAATTTTTTTTTTTTTTAATGTTTAAGCACTAAATAAAAATTCAGCTAACTTTGTGAACTTTTTATGAATAAATAAATGTTATTTTTTATTGTTTATTCAATGCAGCAATTTTATTGGAAAAAAATTTCGAATTACAAACAATTCTAATTCTTATGATTTGTTACAGATTAATGATTCTAATACTTCTCAAATTGTTTCAATTTTTCTTATATTCACAATAATTTTGTGTATTAATATAAAATATCTTCTGCGCCTGTTGTAATCCACGAAAAAGCTATTACAATCTATTTATAAGGAAGAAAGTATTTCTATTTGATTACAGAAGCTTTTCTCCATTTTGATTTTTAGGGTCATTCTTTGAATCAACCGAAATATTTTTCGTTCGGCATCAATTCTTACGGACTTATATTGTATAATCTTCTGAATCATTTCTTGATGTCTTACCAAAAACAAATCGCCATATTTGAAAAGAAATTGCCTAGATCAATCACTGATAATATCCTTCCATAAAATTAAAACTTGCTATTTTAATGATACTTATGAGTTGCTATAAGGAATAATATTTCAGTGCGGTAGTCAGGAAGAATCAGATATTAAAATTAAAAGAGGTTGCAGCACAGTAAGAGAATATGATGGAAGAGAATTCCAGTAAAATATACATTCCAATGGAGAAGCAAAAGTAATGGTAATGTTTGAAGTTACTCAAAGTGGCCGCAGAATTAGAAAATATCTGAAAATTTTCTTTAGATCCCCAATAGATATAAAATGAATTAGTTTGAGCATGGGTTCATTGGCAAGAGGAGGGTGTTATATGTTCATCTCAATAATTAGAAATTTCTTAAACCCTAACAATATTTCTGACAACTAAAGGAAATTTTTATGAATTATCATGGATGATTTATTTCCTTTATTTGTCAGAAATATTGTTAGGGTCTCATTTGTAACTTCGATTCATCGAAGTTAAATATAGGAAAGATATAATAACTCTTTAAGCAAATATTAGTCAACGTAAGAATTTTTTCCTTCTGTATGAAATTTAGAGAGCTATTGTGACTAAGTATTTTAATTTTACCCCTCTTAAAAAAATTGAGCTCCTGCAAGTCTGCTTTGCACATCTGTTTGGGGGTGCTTATTTCCCATATTTTTTTCAGAAGTTTTTTTCAAAAAATCGTGACCTAAATCATGAAAGCCTATTTAAATGAATGATTTTTCCCCCATTGTAACAAGGTATAAAAAAAACTTGCAAGATATTTCTTTAAAAATCCTTCATATTAAAAAATAAAGCACATCAGTTTTTCTCTGATTTTGTTTTCTCTCATCATTGTGATTGATTGCCAATGATTAATGATTTAATAAATACATCGATCAATGATTTAATAAATACAACTTTCTTTATCTCACTTCTACTGCTACGATATATCACATATATTGTTGAACTAAGGTGAATATTCTTCAAAATCCCAACCTAACATCATTATTTTGTAATGAAATTTTTTTTCTAGCTGTGTTATACATATTTATCACCCAAATTATGAAAATTATCATTTTTTACAAAGTACTTCAGGACTGTTTTTGTCTCTTTTTTTCTTTTTTTTTGGCTTAGGGTTAAAATAAAAAAAATTATTATTTGTTACATGTTTTTTAACAGTGTGCTGTCTTATGCTGATACTGAAAGTTTACTTTTAGTATTTTTATTAAATAAAGTTTTAAGCAGATGCTTTTTTGAAATTTTAGAAACTAAAAAATATTTTATTGCGGTTTATAACCTTTAAACTTTTACAATAATAAAAAAGTAAATGTTAGCAATAAATATCTCATGGGTTATTCCAGGTGTTGATATTATGCAAAGTACAAGCCTCTTATACACTAAGAATCGCACTGCAAATGTTACCTCAACTCTTCTTGCACCCTGCAATAATGAACTTGTCATAATTGGAACTAAAGGAATCATTAAGGTAAGAAAAATATTTTGTTATAGCATTGAAATTTTCTAGAATTTCCTTAGCATGTTTTGGAATATCTTAAACATTATGTGAATATTGAGTCTCGATTTTTGTTTTAGAAGATTTTGTTTTTACAGTAATCTACAGTTAAAATCTTGTGACTTATTTAAATTAATTTTATTTGTCAAAAATTTTTTTTTTTACTAGATCACGGTTTTCTTACTTTTATCATTTTGTAAATTTCATATTATCAATTGAGTTCTTAAAACAATTTTTCCAGATTTTACTTAAAATTAGAAAATATTCTTTTAAAAAGTACTTTTCTAAAATAAAAAGAAATTTTTTTGTCAGCATACTTGGTAACTAATAATTCTTTTAATATTATTTGGCTAAAATAGAAATTTAATTACAAAGAAATTTATTCATTTTATTTGAGAATTCTTCTGATTTGAATGAAATACTCCTGAATTTTGGTGTGATCTGCTTGAAAATGTACAAATCTCCTGATTATTATTATTATATCTTTTTAACATGCCTCAGTCATTTGCATAATGTCACTAATTTTTCTTCTTAAGAATATTTTCAGGGGGGAAAAAGTCAACATTTTATCTAAAACATTCATATCATGAAATTTTTTTGTATTGATATTTTCCTGATTTTTATTTTGAAATATTATTTCAGTTCATGTTTAAATATAGACTTTTTAATTCAAGCTAACAGATAATGCAGACTACTTGGATAAATAAAATAGATAATGCATGAAAAAATACATTGATACCAAAGTGGGGCAGAAATGTAAAAGATTCCAATAATCAATTAATAGTAACAGTTACTTGAACAGTAATCAATTACTTGTAATTGTGATTACTACTGTAGTCGTGGTTACAGGTAATCAAAATATATAATTACTAGTAAATACTATTGCATACTATATGTATCATTATATTATAGGGTAAACTAACCAGTGAAGGAACACTTAAGCTTCGCTTGCCTTTTAAAAAATCATATTAATTTCAAAATTCGTAATTTTAGTTAAATGACAGTGTCAACATATTTGTTACTAATTACAAATTACGTAAGAAACATGCCTGTTCCCTCACTGGTTAAAAGTTGTTTTTCGTNTTCACTGGGAAATCTATGCCCAGTAAAGGAACATGCCTGTTCCCTCACTGGTTAAAAGCTGTTTTTCGTATTTTTAACATACGTTTGATGCCGAACATCACTAAAGGTACAAGAAAATTAAAGTTTATCTTTTATTTTCACTAACTTAGAAAAAAAACTAGTAAAGGAACACTTGTCCCTTCACTGGTTTTTCATCGTTTGGTGATCCAGTGAATAAACAGCCCCTTATCTCAGTACTTTATAATGCTATGATGCTTTAAAAAAAATAAAATGTAACTTCAATAACTATATTTTGAATTCTCTTTTTCACAGTGAGAAAAAATAGAACTAATACATGCAATTAATTCCACTTTAAACATATAAATACAAACACTCACCTTATAATTGTTTCAATGAAACAAGGTGTTGCAGAGATAACAAATTCAAAATTTTTCTAGAGAAATCTATTTGACCAGGTAATCCAAAACTTTGCTAGACGACTTCCTATTGTTTGGCAGTAAGCTATTGTTACCAATCAATCTAAAGGAAAACTTTCAAATTCTTATTTTGAATCAATATATATGAAATGTTCCTTCACTGGTTGGTTTACCCTACATTACAGTTTGTATAATCATATATTTTGTAAGTATTTACTCACAACAACGTATGTAACTAAAATTTATGTACATGTAAAATTCATCTATTGATCTAAAATATATGTACAAACAATGTGTTTGCATTTGTATATACCCCGTGCTATCTTACTACATGACTGATGTGATACAGTTCAGCTTTCAGACACTGCTGTATTCAGTAGTGATCAAATTGGGTTTTTATACATTTTGACAAAGTTTCTGAGGACAACATATTATTTTTTCAATAAATCTTAGCATACCATTTTTAAAACTTTGCTATCTCATAGGTAGGCCATTCCTGATTTAAACCTTTTATTTTATGTATTATAAATCAAATTTTAATTATTTATTTCTTAAATAGGTAAAAAATCCATTCTGGTGTCCGACTGCTGTTGAAACAGCAGAAAAAACTCACGAGTTCCCGTTACCTGATGCTATACGGCCCTTTAACTGCACCAATAGTTCTGGTCTAAGATATGAAGCAATGGAAGTTAGAGAATGCCTACAGAAAGGTATAGTTATATTTTTAGGTTGTTTAAATATGTTCAAGTTATTTTAATGTTAGTAAATGTATAAGTTTTAATAGTATCTCAAAGAAAATAATTTGGAATTCAAACTATAATGAATTCATAAACAGTTTTTAATTTTGAGATAATAGTTTGCCTTGTTTGAATTTTTGCATTTAAAAATTGAAGGCATACACAACAAAACAAGTAGTATTTTAATGATACTCAATTAATACAGTAACTGTACTAAAATGAATACAGTATCTGTAATTCATTAATAATTTTACAAACATATAGTCACATTTTTGTGTCTAATTAATGAAATGATTTTTTTCTTCAGAAACTATTTGGTTCAATTAAATAGCGATTTGAGTTTGAGAAAACTTTAAAGGGCTAATTAATGTATTTCAGAACAATAGTATGCTTATAGGGCATTGAAAATTTGATTAAATGAAATTTTATCAACTAGTCAAAATTTACAACAAAAAAAAAGTCTTCTAAACAGACATAAAATTACATGTTTATTATATATATATCAATTATAAATATTTTAAAAGCATGGTTATAAAAGTCTTAGATATCTTTAGCATAATACTCAAAAAATTTCTTTATCTACATTATGTTTCTTAATTCATAAACTACTTTGTGTCTTTTAGGCAATAAAATAGTTTAATGAGTTTACATCTACTGCAAGTGAGATAATAATTCATAAATTACTTTCATCCATCAATTTTAGCATTGGCTAAAATTTAGTTGTAGTTCTAATAATAGTTTTTATCTATAAAACTAAAACAAATTTTTAACTAATTTTATTTTCTTTAAAAAATTTATGAACTCTCGAATTTATTTAAAATTAGTTCATTTTATAAGCTTGACCTACAGAAGTCATATTTAACTGTGGTAATTATTATAGTAAAAACAAATCGTCTATAAATTGTTTAGTAGTTGCAAATATATTATAAAATGACTTAGTATTTAAATGTATACTGTATTTTTCTTTTTAAATAATAAAAAATAGGGTGTAAAATTATTGGGATCATTATATATTCTAGTAGTTTCTATAGCCCTGGATTCGTGGGAAATTTTCCTTTAGGCTAGTTTGGCTGGTTGTTACAAATTCTGCTGACATTAAATATCCTGAGTGATAGACGAATTATAAATTAGTATCTCCTTGCCACAAGGCTAACCATGGGAGGTTTTTAATGAAAGGAGAAGGAGCCAGGTTTGAATCCTAGTGGTGGCTTGCTCTGACCACAGTACTGACATTAAATATTCTGAGTGATAGACAGATGATGAATCAGTATCTCCTTGCCATTAAGCTAATAATGGGAGGTTTTTAATGTTTTCTCTCCGTGCAATACAAATCCTCCAAGATGTTAGTTTTTCCCAATGCTTGATACAATAGTTCCTTTGTCTTCTGAGTTAGGTTCAAAATTACAAGATTATGGAGTTGAACGTTGTTTGTTGTAAACTCAGAATTGGGTTGACTGTTCAGCGCTGATTATAAAATAAAGTATATCTCACTTTTACAAATACATTTTAAAGATAGTAATAACTATATCATCCTTCTTGAATAATGATATTTATTTTGGTTTTAAAAAATCTGGATCTATAATTATTACAGACTTCTTCACGATTAATTCATTCAAATATTAACAAATTTATTATACTTCAAATGCTGTATTTATTTGGTTTCAAAAAATAATTTAAATTTTAGGAAAACTGGAGAGTTCTATTTTGCCTCTTAAAGATTCAGAAACTCATGCAGAATTAATGGATGAAATCCGTCACCAAATTGGTTTTTATTTTGATGAAGATTAAATATATTTTACCTATAGTGTGTTTGAAGCTCCATGTTAGCTCCAGATATTTTTAATGTTGTAAAAATATAGATATGTTTCTTACATCTTGTTTTAATATTTTCCTTTAAAGATTAAGTATGTTTTACAAAAAGCAAAAGTATTTGTATACCGTAAACCAGGGCGAGTCTACCCAAAGCCTCCTAGATAGGGTGAACAAGCCTTCAAGTAGGAATCGTGACGTCACGCACAGGGGGTAACATGGTAGAAAAGAACGTCTTGCTTTTTCTTTCGTTCATATTAATAATTTTGGGTCTCCCTTGTATGTCAGAAGTTTTTTTTTAAAGACCTAAATTTAAAGTGATAGTTTAAATTAAGGTAACTAACTTAACTGAAGTAAAATGTTTACTTGAAAAAAACTTAGATATTTAAGTATGTATTTTGTTATATTAAGGTAAAATAAGAAAATTTTATAATTTTGTTTTGCTTTAGTTTCAATGGCAAANATTATAAAATAACATTTTTTTCTGATTATTGTTGATAAAAATAAATTAAAATTAATATAAATTTACAATTAAATAATTAATAAATAATAATAATTAAAGATTATTAACAAAATCGAAATTCAAACATTGGGAATCATGAAAAATCCTTTTCCCATTCTTTTGCGAGGTGTGATTTTTCTTACAATGTTTTCTCGTTGAATGAGCTCTCGATCTTCGACAGTTGGCCATCGCCAAGCTTTCAGTGTACGTTCCATAAAGGAAACTAATACACCTTCAGGATTCATGTCAATTATCTGACCTGGTGAAAGAACTTCATCGAATCGCTTTATAATCACAAAATTGTTGTTTTCCAATGTAATATTCTCGTCAACTTGGCCAGAATCTTTTTGTTCAGGAGCGACTTCTTCTGAAGATGAGAAATTGTAACTAACATTTTGAGCTGCCTTTCTGCGCCGTTTATTTTGGGGAGAATCTTTCAGTCTAAGAGCGACTTCTTCGCCTGAAGATGTGTCAATAGAAATTACGCCTTGTGCTTTTTTTTAACCCGCTTCTTTCGTGAAGAACCTTTTTTTTTTAGGAACGACTTCTTCATCTGAAAAGGTGACATCAGAAGTCCCCTTTTTGACTTTCTTTTTGCTGCCCTTCTTCTGCAAATTTTTGGGTTTTTTTCACAGCTGCTTCGACATCTTCAGCCCGAATACTTTTTCCTGGGGCTACTTCCAATTTTCGCTTGCGTCTAGAAACTGGTTTAATTCCTAAATTGATTTCCTCTATCTTCTTAATGAATGCCTCACTTACAAGGTTTTTATCTGGATCAGAAGAAGGACAAACTCGCGTTAAAACTTCAATTTTATTCAGCGGATAAATACCAGCTTTGCGAAAACCTGATATCAAATTTTTAGCCGCATTTGGAGATAACAATCGCATGGCTGAGTTCAGTAAACTAGCTATTCTATCTTGGGGCAAAACTGAAAATTTTCTACCTTCATCTGTTTCTTTCCACTCGGTCCAAATTTTTCTCCACGCTATTTTTAAAGGGCGAAAAAAAGCGACGTCCAGAGGTTGAGTAGCATGTGTCGTGTTTGGAGGGAGGCAGATAAATGCAACATTATTTTTCTCACAGTACTTCAATATTTTCAAACTAATATGACTGCTCAGATTATCGCCAATAATGATTTTTTTCCATCAAGTTTTCGCAGTCAAGGAACCAAGAGAGAGAAAAACCAGTCTTCTAAAGTTACGCCGTCAAACCATCCATGATCTGTCCTGCCATATCGTGCTCCTTGGGGACCATTATCTGTCCACGTGCTCCATAAGTTTTGAGACTTGAAAACTATGTACGGTGGTAATAATTCTCCTGCTGCATCCCAAGAAAACATTACAGAAGTACTTGCTTTGCTGCTGTCTCTAATAAGTTCTGGGTACTTTGTTCCTCTGCAACATAAAATTTTCTTTCTCCCAGGATCGTCAGAAATGTTTGTTTCGTCGTAGTTCCAGATATTTTCTGGTGGGACTCCTTCAAGCTGAGTACCCAAGTTTTCAAAATATTTTTCATAATCCTCAACTGATACAGAAGCCCGGGCTCTAGATATGTTACAGGCGAATCTAAAAAAATTAATTTTTGGAAATTAGAAAGGTTTACAGATTAAAGATTTATTAACGTTCAAATGAAATTTTACCTCTGAGACACTTTTTTATGTCTGCTTAAAAATCTATGCACCCAATCTTCTCCAGGCAAATTTTTTTTGAATTTTAGGACTGTGCGATTTTGAATAACCTTGCACTATATAGCGAAAGTCGTCAATAGACACTGGAAAGCCATTATCTGACAAAATTATCAAATGAGCTGCGAACATATCCTCTTCTTCCTCAGTAAAAATCGTCTGCCCGCCAGTGTTTTTATGCTCTTCTGGTTCCCGGTGACAATATTTTGAAAGAGTTTTTCTCGTTATTTTCAATTCGGCTGGGGCATCTTGAATTGTTATTTGTTCGTCTTTTATACTTTGGATAGCTTTTTCCATCTCAGGTGGCATTTTTTTGTAACATTTAAATCCATTTGTTTTGCGAGTATAATTTCGAATCATCTGTAATAATAAATAATAATTTATTTAACTTGCATTAAATAAAAAAAGTTAATTTTGTAATATAAAAATTGAAAAAATAGGTAAAATAAACATATTTTATATTTACATTTATATTTAACCTATAAATTTTCTTATTAATGATAAATTTATCAATGCAGAATTAAAATAATATACTCAAATTCATTTAAAATGACTTAATTTTAATATAAACAAAGTTCTAAATTATATTATTATGCTTTATTAAAACTAAATACGAATGGGTAGACTTGCCTCGCGAATTCTGGCTTTTTGTTTACAACAGCAAAACTTACATTCTTTTTGTTTGTTTTTTCATATAAAATTAATGTAATCTTAGTCTTAGATAAGTTTATCAATTAACCGAATTGAAAATAGTAATAATAATATACTTACAGAGCACCAACTAAAAGTTTGCTGATTTTCAATACAAATCTCTCAAAAGACGTTTGAACAGGTCGGTTAAAAAGACACCAAATAAATAAAAACAGATCAAACTACTACAGCGCCATTTTCCTTAGAGTCTGAACTAAGTTCTCCGTCGGTAAAATTTTTTTTATTTGCAATTTAAAATAGTGAAAATTAAATAAAACTAAATTGGGTAGACTCGCCCCGGTTTACGGTACTCCATTTCAAACCCGAAACAAATTATATAACTATCTGCATTTGATTTGAAAAGAACTTTCCAAGGATATCAAAAGACAAACAACAATTGCTAAAAAATGCGAAAATGATCTTTAGTTGATGTATATGAATAACAGAACTAATCTTGTTCTGGGGAGAATAATATCAGTCAAACATTTAAGTGAAAAAAAAATATTTTATTATTATTTTGCACCAGTTCTAAGCCTCTTTCCCCCCCTTTTTTTTTATCTAATACTAAAATCACAGATTATTCAAGGTACAAAATTAAATAAATTTATAACAGACAACAAACGTACAATACAATAAATAATAATCAATATTTTCTAGAACAAGAGCCACAGCAGGATTCTCACAGCAGTTTAACTTTTATATCACGCATACTTTGCAGTTTAGCAAGTGCAAGGTATATTCTTTTTTTAGAAAAAAATATAAGTGTGAAGTGGAAGAATGATTTTATTTCATTTAAAAATTTCTCTTCTTCAGTAGCCTGTGTATAAGACACCAGCTATGCACTACCTTGGGGTCAACTGCCTGCTACTAACTTAAGATGAAAAAAGGATGTAAAATAACAAAATCAAAAAATGGTTCTGGAAAAAAAAGTTAAACACATTTCTGTTACACTACTAATTCAGCATTAATTTGTTCTTCAGAGTAAATCAGAACAATAAAGAAGAGATAATTTTTTTCTCTCTCCACTCCCTTTAATTTAAAACATGTTTTGGACATCTATTTTTTTTAAAAAAAATTTCTTTTCTAGTGAATGAAATTTTAAATACAAAGATTTTTTTTCAAAATCTTGTGTTTGTATAAACGTTGTACGTACTATACTAAAAAAAAAATTAGGAATATTAAAACAATTAAGAATCCTGGAATAGTTTTTATATTCAAATGACGGTGACAATCGATTTGCTTAACAAAAATTACACATTGGTTGGAAATAAAATAATACTTAATAATGTTAATGATCAGGAATAAATAGAGTAATTAACATTATAGAAGGTACGATTGAGGATAAAAACTATTTTGAAATAGTTTCATTTTAATTATTTATCATTTAATTATGAGGCACTCCTACCATTGCTATTAAAATATAGAGCTCTAAAAAAGTGGGCTAGGTGCTTGGCCATGTTTAGGGGTGTGTGCCACACAATTTTAACCACAGTCAGATGATGTGAACAGCGCCTGAGCTGGTACCCCACTCTCTAAACTTCTGCACCACAACCAACAAGAGGGCTTTTAGCCATAACAAATTTTACATGCACGTTGCTGTGTATACATGCTGACTGTTTTGTTGGTCGCTAGGATTGAACTCACTACCTGAGTATCACCTTAACTGATTATACCACCATAGCACAAGTATAGGTGTACATATAAAGCTAAACTAAAAAGTAAGGAGAAAAGTAAATTGCTTACTGGCATCTCGAAATTTGGGAAGCCACTTTTGACGAATAACAGGAAGAAGATTAAAATAAATTTTTGATTCATCAGGATTTTTCCAAAAACCATGGAATATGTTAAAATATGATTACATGTTTATAATTCCCATTTTCTGCATCTTCTGTGTTTCTAACCAAGACTCTTGTTCTGCAGTCAAAACAGGAACCTATTTATAATAAAAGAACAAAATGTTTCAGTTACCTTTAAAAAATTACACCTGAAAAGAATCTGATTCAATAAAAATTCAAATAAGTTTTTACAATAACAGTGGTCACCATAACAAAAAAAAATAATAATAACAATAAGCAAAATTAGTACCTTCACAAAAATATCTCAAGTAAAATTTAAACCATCACAAAAAAATAATAAAATAATTTTGTGATAAAATATATTTCAGATAACATTATTCTCTTTCACAAAAACTTACGAATGTGGTAAAATTATTACAAAAAAATTTAATGTAAATAAAATTTTTCACATAAATAGGCACCCATATTGAAATTCTGGATTGGTATGAGTCAAAAGATTTAAAGACAAGTTTATAACAGAACTTCTACCATCTTAGCTCATAGCATCTTCATTTCCAATTAATAATTATACAGGCTGTTTTATTAAAAAATAATAGTAACTTAATATAGATTGCTTTGTATACAAACTGTTCCGTTAAAAAATAGTGATGATACTACTTAAGCAACTATGTCTATAAATTAATTGTCTATTAAATCTCATATATATTTAGGACATATGTCTCATATATATTTGTTACATTCCTGAAAACAAACTTGTTTTATTGTTCTGAAGATGGAATGATGTATGTTAACAAGAAAATTTCAAAACAAATTTAAGTAACTGGATAGGGTTTAAATAGAAAACATTAACTGTACATCTGTGCACATGAAATATTAATTTTAAACATAGTATAAAAATAATTGTTTTTAAATTTTATTTTATAATAAAGTAAATTATTACACAGTAGGGAACCGATTATCCGGAATGATCGGGACCATCGCTATTCCGGATAACTGATTTTTCCGGTTTTCTGAATCGCTACAAAAAGCCGTTTTTTTTATTGTAAAACTCAACTAAAAAAAATATATTTGAAAATAATCTTAAAAAGAAGAAAAAACAATGAAGTAATACACTAATGATTATTTCCAAAATGATGGTAAGGTAAACATCTTTCAAAAAAGAAAGAAAAATCTTGAAATCTTATGAGGAATGAAACATTTTTTTTCTTTAAAAAAAATGGCGGGAAAATTTATCGAATTTCATTCCGGTTTCTTGGTTTTCCGATTTCCGGATAACGGGTTCTGTACTGTATTAATGCCTGAAAAGAAAAAAAAACAAGAACAACTTAAAACAAAGTCCTTGAGTAAAATGAATAAAAACTGCGATTGATATGAATTCAACTGATCTCAATAGATACGAAAATTATACTAACCAACAGCAGCGTCTCTGCATTTTCGATACAAAACAAGAGAGCTTCTCTGCAATTTTGGCACATAACAAGCAAATGCTGCACTCAAACGGCTAATACTCAGCAAATATTTTGTAACTGTATCAGTGTTTATTGCATAACCCTTCAATATTTGAGTTTCGTGCAAAATACATTATTCGTGCAGTAAACTAATGCTGAAATGCAAAGACAAATAATTTTTTTATAAAACCTTGATAAAGTCTTATAAAAATTTCTTTTATAAGACCTTTTATATATTTTTTAAAGTTATTGTTAATTAAAATAGTAATACAATGTCTCTATAAGGTAAAAATATTTTCTAAAAACTAAGAAAAGTCTGTTGAAGAATTCTTGTTGAAGAAAACCAGTAGTACATATTACCAGAATTAATTAAGCATCGGTATATGACGATTTCCCATCAACCTCATGAAGGAATAAAATAGTCTATTAACATTAAGTCTGTCCCCAATAATAAGGCAATGTTATAATTAAAATGTATCATTGTTTCTTCAGTTCCCACTGACAACAAGATTATGTGGAAAATTGAATTATTTAACAATTATACAACATGTTTTGAATAATATTGATACATAACACAGTAAAATAATAAAACACTTATTTATTTAATGAAATGTTTAAAGAGGTGGGATTAGTGTGCAAGATTCTGTTTAAATTCTCCTGAAACTTGATCTGCGCAGACAGCAGCCTCATCTTTAACATGTGTTCTTCCACGTCCCTCTCCTCTTTACTCTTTAAAACTTGAATTTGCGCAGACCGCAGCCTCATCTTTAACATGTGTTCTTCCACGTCCCTCTCCTCTTTACTCTTTAAAACTTGAATTTCCAATCTGTATTTTTCTTCAATAGAAGAAGCAGCCTTTTGGGCTGCAGAGGGGGCATATTTTTTCCTCTGCTTTCTGAACATGGAATAGGTGGCTTTTAAACTGGCTTTTGCAGGAGTTTCCTCCGTTCCTGCCACTGGTGTTGGAGGACATGGCGTTACGGTCACACCATTCTGTGATTCTTGATCCTGTAATATTCAAAGTAAATTTGACACAGTGTTAAATTATGTGAAAATTAAATGTAGATACATAGTTTATTTTCTAGTGATTTGTTAAGATATTCATCAACACATGATTTATTTTCGTTATGATTTATAGTAATGTAGAGATTAATAACTGTTTTTTAAATATCTATAAAATATTTTAAAAAGCAAATTAATTCTATTTTTGTTCCACTTTTTCTTTCACATTAGATTGATTTATTCACTAATTTGAAACACTGTGACAAATAGCCAAAATTTGAATAGCAATTTCTTTCAATATTAGAAAATTAATACTTTTCCTTGAAACGGTACTGAACTAAATAAATCAACTTGGTTTAAATTCGAGTAAGTAATAAAATTTTTGTTTGAGAAGCATTATATGAGTTACATAATAAAATGAGAGTAACAATGTATTGGTAAAAATGTTAGAAAACTTTAATATAAATAACAAATCTGACAAACTAAAAAAAAAATTATGATTTAAAGGGGACTGCTACCCTTACACGCAGCAGAAAAGGGTGTAAAATCCACGCAACATATTAAAATTGTTCCCAAAATAAAACATCCTTTTTTATCTTTTTTGGATATCTCTTTTTTCACTTGAAAATTACAAGCCCACTACTTTTAATTATTTCAGTCAAAATTTAACTTGTCCGCAATTAGCATTATAGTTTTCCATTCTTGTAACAAGTATTTACAAAATGAATGGAAAATAATAGCATAAAACAAATCAAATTTAAAAGAAATTTTCTAAATAATTCTTTTGTATGAAATAAACACAAAAGCAGCAAATAAATGAATTATATACATTGCAAAGCCTTTTAGTTTTAGCATTAAAGTACATGAATGACTGATTCAATATATATTACAGTGCCAAGGACAGCTTTTAAGTTTTTACAAAGTCTGAGCCATAAATAAATTGGTTTAGAAAAGAATGATTTCACAGCCCCAACATATTTCAAGGTAAAACAAAAACTGAATAGTCAATGAAATTTTCCTTAGATGCTGAAAACCTTAGCTGCGCCATTGAAATTAAGCAATGCAAATATATTATACATATGTAGCATAATAATTACGAGGCATAATTATTTAAT